GTCTGGCTGAGTTGTGTCCCCAAGTTCTGAACCAAGGCCTTCCTTCCCGGTGGCCTTGAGGACTAAGGGAAAGGACACTGAGTCACACGCCCCAGACGCCACGCCCAGTTTCTCTCCTGGCAGCGTGACTGTGGGCACGTGCTGTTGTTCAGGTTGCCCACTGAGCACTCTGAGGGGCACCGTTGGTGGAGACCATGAGGCCAGAGCCTTGCCGGGGGCCAGGCCTGTGGCTTGGTCTCAGCTTCCGCAGTCAGAGGGTGGCTGGAGGAGCCGCAGTCCACCCTGCTGTCCTGTTGGGGCAAAGGTGAGCTAAGAGCTGGTGCCCATCATGGTGACAACAATCACCGGAAAGAGACTGACACCAGGAAGATGCATCGTCCCTGCAGCTGGGACCACAGTGGCCTCTCCCCCTCCCCTCCTCTAGAGAATGGCCCCTCCCCTCCTGTCCCCCCAAGCCCCCCTACGCGCAGGTAGGGTCCTGAATGGCCCCCACAGAGGGACCCGTGTCCCCGTCCTCAGTGGTGCTGCCTGAGCACCTGAGGTCACGTGAGGTGCGTGGGAGGGTTGGCTCTGGGCCCTGCAGTCCCCCAGCCCAGAGGGCAGGTGCTGGGGACCCTCGTGGGGACAGCTGCAGGACCTGATTCCCACAGAGACTCTGGGAGACGAGGAGAGACAAGCCCGGTCCCCGTCAGTCACCATCGGGGTCTGAGAGTGGCTGGCTCCTGGGGGTCCTGGAGGGGGACAGGCCGTGGTCAGCGCCTCCGGCCCCTTCCTGTGTGGCCTGCTGGCCGTGCATCCTTCCCATCCTGTGGAAGGCAGGGGCTCTGGGCCGGGCTCCCACGGCCACCCTGGTCAGCAGTCGGTCAGCAGTTGGCAGGTGTGGGCTGCGGTGGGCAGGCGTGCGAGGTCCGGGGGTGCTCAGCCTCAGCGCCACCCGCAGCCCCCTTCCCCCCACGGGGGCCCCACGGGGTGGAGGAGGAGAGACGGGGGAGGGGCCTCACCTGGGCTGTCCCCAGCTTGTGGAGCTGGAGCGACCCTGAGGGACACGCAGGCCGAGACCCCTGCCCGGAGCACCAGGCCCCTGCTGCTTCTCCCCAGGTGGCCCGGCCATCCCCGGGCAGCACTGGTGGGCAGCACGCGCCACCATCCAAGCCCGGGCCATCCCGCCAGCCGCGGGACCCTGTGCCCCTGGGTCCCCACCCAGCACCACCCAGCGCTGCGCCCAATACCAGGGTCTCCGCTGAGAGCGCTGAGAGACAGCAGAGCCCGGGACACATGTGACACTGGGGCCCGGGTGACAGGCACACATGGCGGGCCACACAGCCCTGTCACAGGTGGGGTGCAGGGGCCTCCTTCATCCCTCAGGCAGGGAGGGGCCCCAGGAGCCTCCCTGGTGAGACCTGCTGGAGGCTCCAGGGTCTCCACTCCAAGTCAGCGGAGGCCCCAGAGCCTCCTTATCCCAGGATGAGGCCAGCGACCTCGAGCCCCTGGTCCTGCTCACCGAGCCCTCTCCCTCCTGCAGACCCCAGGCAGGACAAGCACTGGGTCCTCCATGGTCAGAGTGGGGGCTTATGAAGGGGCAGACCCCAGCCCCTTTCTGCAAGTGCTCCATGCTCTTGGCTGCCACAAGAGGGCGGTAGGTCTCGGGGCGGAGCAATCATGGCTGGAGGGGCTCTGTCCTTTCTTCTTGGTACCAGGGATTGAACCCAGGTAAGCACTAAGCCACATCCCAGCACCCCCTTTTTACAACTATTTTTATTTAGAGGCAGGGTCTCACTAGGTTGCTTACAGTCTCACTGAGTTGCTGAGGCTGGCTTTGAACCTGTGATCCTCCTGCCTCAGCCTCCGGAGCCTCCGGGATTACAGGCATGCCCCACTGGGCCGGCTAATCCACCTCCCTCGTCACCGACTTTATCTGTAAAGTGGACCTAATAACCCACAGGCACCTCGCAGGCTCCGGTGAGTGGGCTGACATCAGGCGTCCCCGGGCACGTGCCCGCTGGGGACCAGCTGCTGGGGAAACGGCCTCACGTGCGGTCTCGGGGCGCTCCCAGCAACTCCTTGGCAAGCCACATGGCCCCTGGGCCACCACTCACGCCCAGTGCTCAATGGGGAGACAGGGGCCTTACATGCCGTGTGGCCCCATGGCTTCTCTTGTTCCCCATGAAGGGTTCTTGAGGTTTGGGTTGGGGACAGTCATGAACTTTAAGCTCTGGCCACGTTTCTCCTAGCACTTAAACAGGACAACTTGGGAAATGAGAGCCATGTAACTGTCAAAGTCCCTCCTCCCCCCCCTTCCCCTTTTTGCTCTGGCCACTAGGAAGCTCAGAAGCTTCCTGGTTCAACGTAACAGGAAGTGCTCAGGGATGGCGACTGCGTTCATCTGTGTCCCCGCTAGACTGATGGATGGGGCCGAGTTGAGAAGGCATCTGAGGCCACAGTGAGGGAGGCGGGCCATTAGGTGTGGTCAGGGGCACCTGGGCTAAGAAACGAGCAGGGTGACCAGCTGGTGCTGTGAGC